GGGAGGGCTAGGAATGGGGAAAAAATAAGAACCAGGATGCATTGTGTAAGGGTACAATTCCCAATGAGAAATGTAATTGTGTTGTATACCTAAAATGTACCAATAAAAGAATTTAACAAAAAAAAAGAAAAGAAAAAAAAAGAAATTGGGTATTGGGCCTAAGAAATCTATGAACAGGGCTGGAGATTTAGCTCATTGGTTCCTTGCCTGCCTCGCAATCACAAGTTCCTGAGTTTGATCCCCAGTACCAAAAAAGAAAGAAGAAAGAAATCTATAAACAGCCTGTAATCCCAGTACTCAGGAGCTGGGGCAGGAAAATCACAAATTGGGACCAGCCTGGGCTACATAGTGAGTTCAAGACCAGCCTGAATGACATAGCAAGACCCTCTCTCAAAAAACAAAAACAAAACAAAAAGAGATCTGTAAACACAGTGTTGAAGGTAGTTTGGCTTCTTTTGAGTGCTTATTCTAAAGTGTGAAAAGAGAGGAATGACTTAAAATAGAATTGTTAAGTAAAGGGGAGGCAAACTTAAAATTTTGGAAAATTCTCATTCTATCCATACTGGAAAAAATGAGAAAGTTTGTTCAAGAAAGAACAAGAAGGGTGTGGCTAAATTTGACTAGATTAGTTTGGAAGGGCCATCTCAACCAAGCTGTCTATTCAACAATAAGTGGGGAGCTTAACTAGCTATCTCCACACAGACCAAGTCCTGCTGTCCAAGTCAATTGAAGAATAACCCTAAAGGCAGTTTAGAGATCATCAGGGCTGCACCTCCCAATACAGGCCCTGAGCACAGGGCTGAGGGAGCAGAGTAATTCCAAGACTCTTCTCTCCACATTCTGCTGCCTTGTTCCTTGGCTTCCTGGGTCAAGCTGCAGCAGGCCCAGGTGGAGTGCAGCCATGATGGCTGTCCCCTGGAAAGTGCAGTGGCAAACCTTAGTGCTGTCCTCGTGGTGTTATCTCCACCAGCTTGCAGAGTACACAAGCAATGAGGGCTGGGCCTACCTCCACCTCAGTCTCAAAGGCAGGAGCCACCTAGAACCTCAGCTTCATCATTCTAATGGAGAACTGCCTTGGGGGAAAGGCCACCACTCCAGTGAGCCTGAGAGGTGAGAACTCTTCCTCAGTGGGCCTAGAAGGCAGAACATGCAGACAAAGAGGACTGTTCTTTACCCTAATGGATCTCAGCCTTACTTAGGACCTGTTACCTCACTCTTCTGTTTCTCCCTGTGGAATGAAATACCTTTCGTATATCTGTCTCACCATGTGATCAAAATACACAATGAATGTTTAAATTTTTTAAAATTTATGACAGTAAAAGACATATTGCCGTTAATCCCCCTTGCTTCAGACACACTTATCCCATTGTTAGTGCCACTTTATGAAGCTGTTCTGGAAGTCCTCTTTAATGAGTGTCTTTATGAGGTGTGATAAAAAAAAATATAGTGAATACTGCTGCCCAGTGCCATCTAACAAAAAGGCAGGCTTGTAAAAATATTATGGTGTGTCTTCATCTACCTTATTCACTGGCACCGTGCAACTTCTGGCTCTTCCCAAAGTCAAAATGACCATGAAAGGTAAACATTTTAAATCTATTCAGGCCACTGAAGCAGCCACAACAGTACAATTAAAACAATCACCAAAGAGGATTTTCAGAACTGCGTCAGAAAGTGGAAAGAATGACAGGATAAGTGTGTTCAAAGTGAGAGGAAGAATTTTGAGGGGGACTAATGCAATGTGTCTTTTACTGTAATAAATTTTTAAAACTCTAAATACTCACCATATTTTTCAGTCAAACTTGGTACATGTTTGATTACACAAGTGACTAGCTGGAGAATAGTTTGTCTCATTATGAATTATACCTTGAACCTTACCCATATCTTATTTAGATGATATAGATAAGACTTTGAACTTGAACTTCAGAGTTGATGCTGGAATGAATTAAGACTCTTAAGGTATTGGGATGGAATGAACGTACTTTGCATGTGAGAAGAATATGACTAGTAAGAGGCCATGGAAGGAATGCTATAGTCTAACTGCATTGCCCCAAAATTCATTTAAAAAATCTAATCACAAATGTGATGCTATTTGGAAGGGGGTCCTTTGGGAACTTAACTGTCTTTAACTGGAAGCCTCATGGCCCAATACTCTCCTACCTGAAAAATTTCATATAGATAACAGACCCAAAGTAGACAGATGGTATTTAAATGAAGCAGAACCAAGAGGGCATGCCAAGCATGATTATAAATAAAATATTCATCCCTGTAGTCTTATAGGGCTAGAAAGGAATAGGTAAACATGTGATACATAGGTCTTTGTTACTTATTGTTCACACGATGTTATTTGCAAAAAGACAAAAAAACTCAAAAGATACACACAGTAAGGGTACTTATTTTTTCAAGAGACAAACTTTATTTTATGTTCAGTTTATTTTTACTTTGTCAGGATTGATGATAAGTGTAAACTCTTTCTTTAAAGGGAAGGCAATATTCTCTTCAGTCAAGGAAGCTAAATCCAAATGCCTGGCTTCTAAGCTAAAAGGTAAATGGATGTTTGGTGTCAGGTCCTTTTGCTGGCAGAAGAAAATTATCGTGCACAGTGGAAGGTGGTGAAAATGAAGGGGCTCAGGGTGTTTAAACTGTGGGCATATGAGTGTATCTAGGTGTGTGCGTGTGTGTGTGTGTGTGTGTGTGTGCGACAGAGAGAGAGAGAGAGAGAGATAGGCTAGGAAGATGGGGAGGGGGTCTCCAAACTAGAAGAAAAATGGAATACACTGTACAAAGATTTTTAACTTTCCTTCTAAATGTATCCTTTTTCTTCAGAAAAATGGGTAGTTAATCCAGAAGAGACCAAACTAAGTATTTTATGTGAGTTGGAGGTAAGAAATATTTATCATACCAAACTAGCACATTGTTCTCATGAGGAAAAAAGGCTTATTTAATCTTTAATTGTTTTCTTTCTCTTTTGCTTTTTTAAAATTCAGTTTAAAGAAGACTTCATAACACTATTTGAGCCTTCCCTAAGAACATTACCCAGCATTGGGCCACCACCCATTCTGGCATACAGACAAGAGCGATCCAACCTAGACATTAACTTCAGGGTGATTTCAATTCATATTTTTGTTGTTATTGTAAAATGACATAAAATACCACAAAATGAAAATGGTACCGGGGATCGAACTCAGGACCTTGCGCTTGCAAGGCAGGCCCAGTGCCACTGAGCTAAATCCTAGGCTAAAGTGAACATATTTTTTAAAAAGACAAAGTGTTGTCAGGCGTGATGTAGCACACCTATAATCCCAGCATTTGGGAGGCTGAAGCAGGAAGATAGCTGAGTTTGAGGCCAGCCTGGGCTACATAGTAAGTTCAAGGCCGGTCTGGATTGCATAGCAAGCCTCTGTCTCAAATCAAAAGGCAAAGTCCTCAGGAACCTGGACTAGGCTTTAGGATGGCTGTGTTTATTTCCTAGGGATGTTTAATAAAGCATCACAAGCCAAATGGTTTAAAACAAAAGAAACTTACTGCTTCTTAGTTCTGGAGGGTAGAAATCTGAGATCAAGGAATGGACAGGGCCAACATTATAGGGGAGAATCCTTCCTTGTCTCTGGCCAGCTTTGGTGGTGGGTGACAGTCCAGGAGTTCTTTGGCTCACAACTGCTTAACTCCAATCTCCACTTCAGTTTTCACTGTGTTCTCTCTCATTCTCTGGGCACAGTTGTCCTTCAGGATTTAGAGAGTTATGATGATATTCCAGAAAAGGATGACATGACTGTATTTGAATAAATGTAAATTTTTGTACATTGTTGTACATGAAAAAAATAAGACAGCCCCCGAAAATAAGTCCTGTTGTGTCTTTTGAAGCAAAAATTGATATAAAACCTAGTCTTATTTGGGGGGAAATACAGTAACTCTATCTTCCCTATTTGGTTCGCCTCAGCTCCTGAATTACCCTCATAGCACAGATAGGATTCAGAGCTCCAACATGGGGCTTCCTTTGAGAAGGGAGTTTCATTCATTTTTGAAAGTTGACAGTTGCTCGTAGTGGGCTACACAGTAATGTCAAGACTTTTTCCAACCTAGCACTTATTGAAAGAGTTAATGGTATTCAAACACCTGAGACCCTTTTCATAAAATTGAGTATGTTAGCCTGGTCTCTTGCATGTAGTCACATTCTCCTCCCTCACAGTGTCAGCAGTCATTTCTGCACAGCTCTTAGGGGGCCCAGTTGTGCTCTACTGAATGGTGGCAAAATGCACCCCAGGCATCCCGGTCCTCATGAGCCCTTGACTAGAAGCAATGTCATATACTAAAACAGACAGATCTTGCTGACTAGATGCCCTCTGGTACAGGATCTCAGCACCTTGAAAATTCTCCACCAAGTATTTTAGGAGCCCTTCAGGTCTCTCTGGAGTCCTCAGAAAAGATTGCCCATCCCCTTCACCTCTGCTGTCCCAGTGGACATTCACTGGCTTTGTCTGGGCCCTTGTTCCTTCTGTTCTCAGAGATGCTGGTCCTCTGTACACACTTCATCTCTCTCTTTCTCAAGGATGAAGAGGAGGAGCTATCACCCACATGTGAATTTTGCGGAAGCAATCTCCAGGCATTTCTTTCTAGTGTGGATTGCATTTACTCTGAATCAAAAGCATGTGTAAGTTCTAAAACAGGTTGTCTGAGGAAAGAGTGTTATTTTTAAACATTTGTAGTATCTCGCCCTGCTTTTTTCCCTTAAACTGCCATTCTTGAAACAGGGAAATGCAACTGACAAACACAATGGCAAACCAGTTCACATTCCCTAGAATGGTTCTAATTTTAAAAACTTGATAATAGCAAGTGTTGGCAAAGATATAGAGAAATTACAACCAATATACACTGCTGAGAGGGAATAGAAAGTGGTGCAGCTGCTTTTGAAAACAGTCTGGCAGTTCCTTGAAATGTTAAACATATAGTTACCACATGACCCAGTGATTTCATTACTAAGCTTATACCTATGAAAATGGATAATATATGTCCATGCAAAAACTTGTACACAAACATTCAAAGCAGCATGATTCTTAATAGACAGAAGTGGTAATAACCCAATTGTACATCAGCTGAAAAATGAATAAAATGAGGTATATCCATCCAGTGAAATATATTCAGCCAGAAAAGAAGTCCTGAAACATGCTACAACATAGATGAGCCCTGAAAACATGATGCTAAGTGAAAGAAGTCAATTATAAAGTATGACATTCCTGGTTCCATTTATATGAACTGTAAAAAATAGGCAAATGGAGAGAAACAAGAAGTAGACTAACAGTTTCTGGAAGCCAGATGGAGAGGAAGTGACTGCTAATGGGTTACAGCTAAAATTGATTGTGGTGACAGTTATATAACTCTGGATATACTAAAAACCAATTTTAAAAAATTTGAGTTACACTTTTGAAATGAGTGAGTCATATTGTATGTGAATTACCACTTAATAAAGCCGCAGACAGAAAAAAATAAAAGTTACGGTAGACTTTCATATAAACCCCATTAGCTGGTTTTTTGGTTTTGTCCCCTCTAATCATCTTCATCTAGGGCTGATGAGATGAAAATGACTTCTATGTTTTTTTCAGACTTCCTGTTGTCCTCAATTCCAAAATCTGATTGACTGTATCTATGAAGAAAAACAAAAAATCAAAAGCTCTAAACCTGAATTAATCAGTATTAAACCTCACAAAGCCTATGGCGCTGAAGTTGATAGAATGAAAGCAAAAGCAAAAGCCCTGCGGAGGTAACTTTGAGCCCTGGATATTGAAACTCAGATAGGCCAACTTAATTGGAAAGCTTTTCATAAAATGAACTTTGTTAGCCAGATGTGGCAGCACATGCCTGTCATCCTACCACTCTGGGAGGCTGAGGCAGAAGAACCACCAGTTCAAGCCCAGCCTGGGCAACTTAGTGATTTAGGGAGACCCTGTCTTAAAATTTTAAAACTGAAAAAGGGTGAGGGATATTGGTCAGTGTGAAGGCCCTGGATTGAATCCTCAATACTGGGCGGGGGAACTTTTTGTTATTGTTGTTGTTGTTTGAGACAGGGTCTCCTTATGTCCCTTGAGATGGATAATTGTGAAAGATGTGTTCCCTGTAAAGAAAGGAAAATTAGCTAAAGCAAACATGCAAGCCTATTACAATTTCTGATGGGTGTCAGATTGAAAAGTTCCTAGAAAATGTAGTAAATTCATTGATTTAAAGTAGAATCTGCTAATCCCAAATTTTGGGGGCAATTCAGGATTCCTATTTTGGAGAAATTTATCCATTGAATAGCGTAGATACCCACACATATACTCTGATTAAAAGCCTGGTTTCATAAGTAATAACAGATAAAAATAACACAGAATAGCATTTGAGCAGTTGAGATTTGTAGTATACTATTCAAGCTTCAACAACATTTCAGATTTCTGCATGATATTTCTGATTTTGTAGAAAACAGGAGCGACAAATTGCCAGACATCTCACTGTGGTGCGAAATGAACAGATGAATTTACCTGTAGAAGGTGAGTTCATCGACGCTAACGTTATAAACCAGCTGTAAAATGTAAAAAAGCTCAGGTATTTGACCAAAAGATAAAATTAGTGTATTTGAAAGTCATATTGAAATTCTTTTATTTTTAAGTAACATAAAACCTGTATCAATCAAAATGGCTCAAAATAAAATCTGGTGTTTCAGCCGTCTGACTTTCGGCGTTCTTAGTCTACATCTCATTGTTATTACATTAAAGTCAATGAGCAATATCTATAGAGCACTTACAGACAGCAGCAAGGAACTTTCAAATTTACTGTCTCTTGTTTTATGAAGTACATACTACATTTTGTTTTCAAGCTTGAGTATGGAGTATCTGTCAAAAATAAATCACACTACTTTCTTCACATATTGGCTGTGTCTACCCACTGCCCAACAGAGCTGTAGTGTTGATGTAGATGAATGACCCTTGATTTTAGAATGAGAAGTCCTGGATTTATATTCTTGCTTCCCTCCTTATAGGTTTCTGATTCTGAATAAATTACTTAGTCTTTCTGAGCATGATGCTCTTTCTCTACCACTTAGAGCTATTTAGAGGAAGACATTTTTATAACTAAATCCTTAATGCTGTGTAACATTTCTTGATATTCAACTGTTTCTGGCTAAAACAAAGGGCTGGAAAATTCTACTTAATAAAAATTGCCATTTTTCTTTTTAAAGAAAAGAATATTCTTATTTTTTTAACTAAAGTAGTTCCTCGCTAACTTAATGAAGGCTCTCATTTTTCTTTCTTTAAAAAAATGTCTAACAAATCAACATATTTGCAATGGGGTTTGAATTTTATTTTAGAAGAATGGTTTTTAAAAATTTAAAACATTTTTGTCATCTTTTTCCTATTAGATTCAAAGAATTTCAGAACTATTTCTTATCAACTTTCTGTGGATATTCCAGAAAAAAAGCCAACTGATGAGGAACCATTTTATTTCCAACTAATACAGAGTAACATATCCATTGTTTGTTGTGATTCTAGGAAAGCATGCGGAAAGGTAACTCATTTGTAATTTTTTATTTGCTCTTTTACAAAAATCAGTTTTACCTGAAATTTAAAAAGCTTTCATGAGGGCTGGGGATTTAGCTCAACTGTGCTGCTGCCTGCCTTGTAAGCCCAAGGTCCTGAGTTCTATCCCCAGTACCAAAAAAAAAAGTTTTCATGAAATGTGTCTACATGACACCTTTAACTAGTTGGCATTTCAGTTCATATTAGGCCTTGAAATAATGTCTTCTAGATGTTTCTGATAAAGTCTTTTATCTTCAAATATAATAGTTACACATTAAAGAATGTTTGGAATCCTTAGAAAATTAAAAAGAAGGGGAAATAATTACCAAATATCCAAATCACTTTCCTCAAACATTAATATTGCAATATATTCTACACTTGAATAATATGGTAGCAATATTCCATATGATTATTTAAATTTAAACTATTTAAATTAAAATGAAACAAAATGTAAACTATAATTCATCAGTCACATTAGACACATCTTGGGTCCTGCATAGATATATGTGACTCATGGCTGCCATGCTCTAGTGCAGAGATACAGAACATTCTTATTGTCTTCAAATGTTCTATTAGATCGCACTGTCCTAGACTTTTTTCCTTGCTTATTTGTATTTTTAACAAGCTTATAATTGTAGCATATATGCAATTTTTCTTTTTAAACTTAATTATAAAATCGTATTTTCTATACTATATGTTACATTAATTTTAATAGCAGTGTGATTTTTCATATAAAGTATTTAACCATTTCTGTTATTGGACATAGATGCTATTACATTTTTTCTATGCTAAATAACATTGCTTTGAATAGCTTTGTGTATGTCTGTATCTAAGCATAGTTTCTCAGAACAAATTCCCAGCAATTAAATTACTGAGACCAGTTTGTGTTTCTCTTGGGTGATACAGAATCTCAGGGATAGCAATAATCTTACTCAAACACATTTTTTTCTTTTCTTTTTTCCCCCTTTGCACCCCCCACCCCCCAGGATTGAACTGAGGATTTAACTCGGCCTTATCACTGAGCTACATTCCCAGCCCATTTTTAATATTTTTTTTTTTTTAGCATTCTTGGCTTGAACCTGGGATCCTCTTCCCTCCACCTCCCAGAGTGCTGAAATTACAGGCCTGTGCCACCAACTCAGCCCGTGGACATTATTTTTTAAGTTTGATTACCAGAACACAGTGAAAAGTAACAAAAACCCAAGGAAACCTGATTCCATAACCAAAAACCTAGAGGAATAATGCCTAATAGGAAAAGACCTACAAAACGTTGAAAATGAAGTAATCTAGCATGTTTATGACAATGAAAGATCACCTTGAAAATATGTGGAGGAAATTTTTTAAAAAGAAAGATGGGCTGTAAGCCTTTGGATTACATGTGCAGAAAAAATAAAATTTTCCGAAATAATTCATACCAAAAAAGAAAAAAATAATATATATATGGAGGAAATAGAAAAAACTGATATATCAGATTTGAAATGAAAAAGATAAACTTATAGAAATGAAAATTAGAACTGAAATAAAAACCTAAAAGATAATAATAAAAGTAGGTTAGACTCAACTGAAGAGAGAACTAATACCCTGAAAGAAAGGTTTTTAAAAACTTTTTTTAAAGGTAAGGGACACAGAAGAGAGTATATGATGTAAAGCTCTAAAATATATTTATTCAGAATACATAAAGAAGTGCAGAAAGATGATGAGACAGAGGTAATATTTAAAGAAATGCTGGATGATAGTTTTCCAGATCTGATAAAAGAGACCATCAATCCACATATTTAAGAAGTCCAGTTACAAAAATGAATTATTGAGGATGATGGTATAGGGGTAGAGAGCTAGCCTCACTACAGGCCCTGAGTTTTTCTCTCTCTCTCTTTTTATTTTATTGGTACATTTTAGATATGCATAGTGATAACATGCAACATAGGGAATTTGTACCTGTATATGATATATCTTGCTTCTTCTTTTTTCCCCACCCCTTCTTTGTACAAAATCTTTGTTTCCACTTTCTTCTTCTTTTTTTTTTTTCTTGTCCCTTCTTTCCTTTCCCCCTCTCCTGCCCTTGTTCCCATCTCATTTGGACATTTTCTTCCCACTTTTCCAATGTCTATTATGCATTTTGGTCCTTATTTATACTTTCAGTTTCTCACACCAGAGAAATCATTCGATATTTACACGTGTGTCCTGTTTATTTCACTTGAGTATGGCCTCAAGGTGCATCCATTTAGTTAGAAGTGTCTCAAGCTTATCTTTTGTATTACTCCATTGTATAAAAAAAAATCATATCTTCTTTATCCATTAATTGATTGATGGACATTTGTGCTGTTTCTAAGATTTAGCTATTACAAACTGTGCCACTATAAATGTGGGTGTGCATATTTCGCTGTGGGATGATGCTGTTAATCCTTTCAGGAAGATAGCAAGACAGGGAATAGCTGAGTTGAATGGAACCTCTAGTTTCAGTGTTTTGAGGAATCTCCACACTGATTTCCACAGTGGTTGCACTAGTCTACACTCCCACCAAGAGTGGAGAAGGGTTCCTTTTTTTGCCACAACCCCACAACCATTTGTTTTTTTTGTTTTTGTACCAGGGATCGAACTCAGGACCTTGGGCTTGGAAGGCAGGCGGCAGCACCACTGAGCTAAATCCCCGGAGCAGCATTTGCTATTAGTTGTTTTCTTGATAATTGTCATTTTTTCTGGAGTGAGATGGAATCTCAGTGTTGTTTTAATTTGCATCTCTCAAATGACCAGTGATGTTGAACATTTTTCATATATTTATTTGTCATTTCTACTTCATCTGAGAAGTATCTGTTCATTTCACATGCCCATTTTTGGATTGTATCTTTAAATTTGGGGGGGGGGTCTGGGTTTGTTTGGGTTTTTTTAGTTCTTTATATATTCTAGATATTAATCCTTTGTCTGAGGAAAAGCTGGTAAAATTTTTTTCCTACACTATGGGTTGCCTCTTCACTCTGTTGGTGGTTTTTTTGTTTTGTTTTGGGGACTTTTGGGGGGTTTTTTCTGCTGCACTTATCTTTAATAATTGGTCCTAGTTGTTGATTCTTTGTGATATTTCCTGTGCAATTGGGGCTTTGTTCATAAATTCTTTGCCTACACCAATGTCTTCAAGAGTTCTACATATTTTATCTTCCAGCAGATTATGTGTTTCTTTTTTAGTATTTAGATCTTTGATCCATTTTGATTTTAGTTTAGTGAATGGTGAAAGATTTGGGTCTAGTTTTAAACTTTGGCATGTGGGAAGCCAGTTATTCCAGCACCATTTATTAGAGGCTATCTTCCTTCCAGGGAAGGTGTTTGGCTCCTTTGTCAAAGATGAGGTAGCTGAGTATGTTGGAGTTCTTTCTGCATTTTCTAATCTGTTCCATTGATCCTTGGATCTGTTTTTTTGTTGGTCCCACGCTGAATTGTTTTTTGTTGTTTTTGTTTTGTTTTTTGTTTTTTTAATCACAATAGCTTTGTGGTATAATTTCAAGCCAGGGATTATGATGCCTCTGGCCTTGCCTTTGTTGCCCAGAACTGCTTTTGCTATTCTACATCTCTTCTTGTTCCAAATGAATTTTAGGATTGTTTTCTCTAATTCTGAGATACGCTGTTGGTATTTTGATCAGGATTGCATTAAATCTTTTTTTT